TTGTGGTAGGTATATAAACCACTTCCGGTCAGTTCTGGAAGAAATTATGAGACTCACCTCATTTGTGTCCCCTCTCTTGGGAATCACAGTACTGTGCTACCAGTTTTTCAATGTCTAAAAACTGTTTCCTTGTGTATTATATTCAGTTTTCTAGCTATTGAAGGCAGAATGTATCTTAGTTCCGGCTGCTATAACAAACTACAGTAGCCTGGGTGTCTTATAAACAACAGAAATTTATTCATCATATTTCTGGGGGCTGAAAGGCTGAGATCAGGGTGCCAATGTAGTGAAGGCCCTCTTCTGGATTGCAAACCCTTGCCTTCTCATTGTATCAACATGTAGCAGAAAAAAGGTAAGAAACTTCTCTGGGTTCTCTTTTTATAAGGGCAGTATTCACCTTCACGAGGGCTCCAACTTAATTACTGAGTTACCTCTCCAAGGCTCTACCTCCTAATACCATCACGTTGGGGGTTAGGATTTAAACATTTAATTTGTGGGGGGCAGAGAAGGGGAACAAACATTCAGTTCATAATAGGGAATTAAATCTAGTTCTATTTTCTCTATCAAGAGAGTTTTGAATATAGCAGAGTTGCTCAGTCTCCATGCCGTTGGCATTGATCTCTAGGTATCCCTTATCCCTCTGGGACTTATCTTAAATATCTGCAGAACAGAGAGTAAGACAACAACAACGAAAGCAGGATTGTTAAAATCTCCGTAAGACATGGAGAGCTAGAGTTGGTTCTGCTTTGTTTCCTAGGTAGCAGGGTGGAGCACAAGTTGGCATGGAAATTATTTTGCCTACCTTAGCATTGGTGCATGGAACTGAAGAACAATTCCTGGAATGTGGGAGGAGATTTCAGTAACCAGGCCAGCTTTTATCTGCATGGCAACTTGGGGGTCAGAACCTAGGAGGTCAGAAGCAAAACCAAACCAAAAAAACAAAACAAACAAAAAAGCAAAACAAACAAAAAAGCCAACTTGCTATTCAATAGTCTGGGTAGAAGGTATCAGAAGCAAACCCGTACCAGTACAGAAACTTAAACTCTAGGCATACTTAGAGCTATCCAAGGTCAGGAAAACGATCTTTATTTTATACATGTAGACCTTGTCTGTTAAAGTAGTAGGGAAAAAGGCAGAATCACTTACTCTAATGGCACCCACGGATCTGTGTGATTAATAATCACAAGTAGAAGTGGAAAGAATTCTTCAGGATGACCTTAAAGATTAGCTTTTGAGCCCTATGTGATACATAGTCTAGGAGTTCTGAACTAGTACAGAGCTCTTTGGGAAAAACAAAATGCCACTTTTTCAGAAGTTCTATAGGTGGTGTTTTAAACAGAGATACTGTTAAAGTTTACACCTCTAGGCTGTGTCTTTGGGGGAATATACAAGACCTATTTGCTTCAAAAGTATCTCCAGATACTTTCTTTTCTTTTCTTTTTCTTTTTTTCTTTTTCTTTTTTTGAGACAGGGTCTCACTCTGTTACCCAGACTGGAATATAGTGGCTCTACCACGGTTCACAGCAGCCTCAACCTCCTGGGCTCAAGTGGTCCTCCCAGCTCAGCCTCCTGAGTAGAAGGGGCTACAATCGTGAACCACCAGACCCAACTAATTTTTGTATTTTTTGTAGAGACAGAGTTTCCCGATGTTGCCCAGGCTGGTCTTAAACTTCTGAGCTCAAGCAATCCTCCCACCATGGCCTCCCAAAGTGCTGAGATTACATGCATGAGCCACCACAGTTGAACTTATCAGATACTTTCCTAAAGGGTTAGAATATGTGGCAGGATCCTAGATGTGTCTGTTGTTAAGACCATTTTGAGAGAATGAGTTTTTAAAATTTCACTATATATTAGTTTTCTAATGTTGCCGTAACAAATTATCATGATCTTAATGACTTAAAAACAATTCAAATATATTATATTATGATTTCTGGAAGTCATAAGTCCTAAAATCAAGGTGTCAGCAGGACTATATTTCTTCTGGAGGTTCTAGGGGAAATTTCATTTCTTTGCCTTGTCCAATTTCCAGAAGCCCCCTGCGTTCCTTGGCTTGTGGCTTGTTTTCTTACATTACCTTGACCTCTACTTACATGCTCACATCTCCTGCTTTGACTCTCACCCGCCTCCCTTTCCTTTATAAGGACCCTTGTGGTCAAAGATAATCTCTCCGTATCAGGGTCCCTGATTTCACATCTGCAAAGACTTTGTTTTATGTATGTATGTATGTATGTATGTATGTATGTATGTATGTATGTTTTGAGACAAAGTCTCACCCTGTAGCCCACGCTGGAGTTCACTGGCACAATCTCAGCTCGCTGCAACCTCTGCCTCCTGGGTTCAAGTGATTCACCTGCCTCAGCCTCCCAAGTAGCTGGGATTACAGGTGTGCGCCACCACACCTGGCTAATTTTTGTATTTTTAGTAGAAATAGGGTTTCACCATGTTGGTCAATGTGGTCTCAAACTCCTGGCGTCAGGTGATCTGCCCACCTCTGTCTCCCAAAGTGCTGGGATTATAGGCACGAGTTATTGTGCCCAGTTGCAGATACTTCCTTTGATATGTAAGGTAATATATTCACAGGTTCTGGGGATTGGGACATGAACATATTTGGGGAGCAGTTTTTTTTTTTTTTTTGGCCTACCACACAGGCTGGCATCTTTTCACAGGATTCTTTACATACTTTTCCTATTTGAGGAATGTTATGAACTGAATGTTTGTATCACATAAAATTCACATGTTGAAATCCTACTCTCACTGTGATGGTATTAGGAGGGAAGGGTCTTTGGGAGGTAATTAGGTCATAAGGGTGGCGTCTTCATGAATGGAATAGTGCCCCAATAAGAGATACTCCAAAGACCCCCTTGTCCTCTTTCCTCTATGTGATAATACAATGAGAAGATGGCCATCTGCAACTTGGAAGAGGACACTCAGCAGAAGCTGATTGTGCTGGCACCTTGATCTCAGACTTTCAGCCTCCAGAACTGTGAGAAATAAATTTCTGTTGCTTATAAGAAATACATTTCTGTTGCTATGGTGTTCTGTGATAGCATTCTGCACTCACTAAGACATGAAATTGGCATTTGAAGGATGCCTTTCTTTGGATGATCAAAAGTCATCTGTTGGCTCAGGCCTGTAATCCCAGCACTTTGGGATGCTGAGGCAGGAGGATCACCTGAGGTCAGGAGTTTGAGACCAGCCTGACCAACATAGCAAAACCCTGTCTCTACTAAAAATACAAAAATTAGTCGGACATGGTGGCAGGCACATGCAATCCCAGCTACTCAGGAAGCTGAGGCAGGAGAATCGCTTGAACCCGGGAGGTGGAGGTTGCAGTGAGCCCAGATCACACCTCTGCACTCTCTAGCCTGGGTGACAGAGCTAGACTCTATCAAAAATAAATAAATAAATAAATAAATAAATAAATAAATAAATAAATAAAGAAGTCATCTGTGGTCCTTAAGTGGCACAACAAGAGATGTCACTCTGGGCTTCACTTTTCTTAGATAAGATGTTGTTAGTCCTTACAAGCTATATCCTAGGCAGCCTGGACAATACCTCTTTGGCTGCTTAAACTATCCACACCATGCATCATGCTCTTGTATGTATCCCAACATAAACTATGAGACTGTGGGCGCATAATGTATAATGACAACACTTAAAACAATACAACGGTCTCCTCAAATACCTAGGGAAGAATTTATCACTCCCTTTCTTGGTGCTTACCAATTACATAAAGAGCCTGTGGTTAAAAGGTGAAAAATCTTATATTTTCCTGTATTTTTGGCCTAGATCATGGGGTGTGTTAGGCGCCTGGTTTTAATGATTATTTTAATGGCATTTTAAGCCACAGGCTTAGATTGCTCCTCTCTCTTGCCAGTTCTTACTTGTCTTTTATGTCCTACAAGTCCTGTTCTTCAGACCCCACTGGGCAGAGACAGAGCGTTCTCCTGTGAGGTGTACAGTGCCAAGCAAATCACTGGCCCTCTGTAAATAATAATAGTGTTTGGGGCTGTGACAGGAGATGGAAACTAGACATTTTCTGACCCTCAGTTCCAGAGTGTTCTCAGAGCACATTCATTTTGGCATATACTTTGGAAACTGAAAGCTCTCTGAGGGAGTATCAATCACTTTTATGGTGTTGTCAGTAACTATATGTATGCGGTCACATGTATGCACTTTGATTACAACATCCATAACTTCATTTAAAAAATTGCTGAAGGCCTACTATGTGTAAATGATGTTGTCAAGCATAGTGGGGTGAAAGATGATGAAAGTTGCCATAGGTCTGTGGCATGTGTATGTATCATGCATATGAACACACATGAACACATACATAAGTGGAATGCATGTACACATGTGTCTATAGTAGCTTTTTAAATTAGGTTGATAATTTGATTCTTTTTATTTGAAAGAATACTTTGGAAACCAAACTTAATTTCAACTCAAGAAGTTTCTTTTTACCATTGGCAACACTTCTTGAAATAAACGGATGACTTAGCGGCCCTCAAAGGATCCTTAAAGCCACTTGTCTCTCAATTTTTTTTTTACTTTTGACTCTGATGATATCAAAATGACTTAATGGTATTTAAGTTCCAGAATCTTTGGCACTGCTAGTGTTTGTTCATCAAAGATTTGAGGAAGTAGAGAGGATATGGGATAAATTTCTATTCTCTTGTGTATGTGTGCATGCGTGTGTATAGAGAGTGTCCTATTCAGAAGCTTCTGAGCAACAAGGATGTTCTATGTGGTGATGGCAGGTGTGAGTATAGGAGTGACTTTTTTTTGGGAGAGGCATAGAGAGCAAGTTTATTTGGTGAATGCTGATGGTAAACTATCATCCAAGAAAGACAACATGGGAAAGGCACTGTGATAAGAGAACCTAGGGAGCCTTCAGGGTAGATAGAAACTCTCACCAGGGGGAGACATGGGCTATGGGAGACTGGGAAGGTCCTCAGCCATTCAGCACCATAAGGATGAGCTGCCCCATGGGCCTGTCACCCCTACAGGATGTGCCTCACAAATGCTTCATAGTTGATACAACCATTGCTGCCCTCATTCCCTGCCACCAGCACCTCTACCTCTTCCTCTGTTATCTTCTCACCCAGTGTGACAAGAACAAGCCAGAATTCAACACCCATGACGGTGCCATTTCCTTCCTTGTCAAACACCTGAAGTCCTTCTACATAATCTTCATAGGTGCCCTGGTCCTTGTTCTTGGCCACCGTCTGCAGTATGGGCAGAAGGTGCTCAAATTCTAGCACCTTCACGTTCATCTCATTACTCTTGGGGTTCCCCAGAACCTTGAGCACCTCAGTGTTGGTGGGGTTCTGACCCAGTGCCCTCATCACATCCCCATATTGGTTGCACAGGATCTTGCCATCACCTATTCGGTCAAACAGCTGGAAGGCCTCTTTGAACTCTGCAGTCTGATCCTCGGTGAAGTCACACATCATGACTGCTCAGCTCTGTGGGACTTTTCCCTGCAGTAATGGCCAGGAGTGGCTTTTTATAAAGGATTTAAACTGACGTCTGCTTTTCTACCCTGCCCCAGGCTTTCTTGGTTAATAGCAAAGGGTGACTTGAGATGTAAGAAGTAAGCTCTGGCTACCTCTGAAGACTCCTAGCCCATAGTTAACTAAATCTCACTTATTTGGGAATAAAGACTATTCAAAAGTTTGAAGAATCCTTCTCTCTTTCCTCTCCACCCCTCCCTGGGGAATGAACCCTGAACCACACTCCTACTCTTACACTCAAATCCCCTTATTAATCCATTTAAATATTTCTTCATGAGACCTTATTCATTTTCAATGACTTTGATGTTGCTGTAACAATGGATTCAGAAATTGTTTTGGTTAAGGAAATTCGACTCTCTGGAAAGCCCCATTCCTTCGTTCCCCTTTGAAACATGCCTATAATGATTGTGACAATGTACTATGGCAATTAAAAAAGATATATAATTCCCTGTCAAACTTTTTTAAGCTCCTCCTATTCTTAACCATGTCTTGGGGATATTGCTTTCATGTTTTGTCCCCACAGTAGGCATCTGTCCAATGAAGAACACCATAAAAGTAGTATTTTTAAATGATATTTTTATTTATTATTAAAACATTTTTAAGAAGACAAAAAAACTCTCTTATACATTTATCACTTCATATTATAACTACTTTTCTTTTTAAATTCCTGTCCATTCTTTTGAATATCTGTGACAGTTGCAAGGATTTAAGAATGGATAACTGAACTTAGCAGACATATGACAACTTCTTTTGTCATCTGTATTAGCCTGTTTTCATGGTGCTGATAAAGATATACCCAAGACTGGGAAATATACAAAAGAAAGAGGTTTAATTGGACTCACAGTTCCATGTGGCTGGGGAAGCCTCACAATCATGGTGGAAGGTAAGGAGGAGCTTATCCTGTCTTACATGGATGGCAGCAGGCAAAGAAAGAATGAGAGAGATGCGCAAGTGGAAACCCCTGATAAAGCCATCACATCTCATGAGACTTATTCACTACCATGAGAACGGTATGGGGGAAACAGTCCCCATGATTCAAACTATCTCTCATCAGGTCCCTCCTACAACATGTGGGAATTATGAGAGTACAATTCAAGATGAGATTCGGGTGGAGACACAGCCAGATCATGTTGTCCCACCCCTGACCCCACCCAAATCTTATGTCCTCACATTTCAAAACCAATTTTGCCTTCCCAACAGTCCCCCAAAGTCTTAACTCATTTCAGCATTAACCCAAAAGTCCACAGTCCAAAGTCTCATCTGAGCCAAGGCAAATTCCTTCCACCTATGAGCCTGTAAAATCAAAAGCAAGCTAGTTACTTCATAGATACAATGGGGGTACAGTTATTGAGTAAATATAGCCGTTCCAAATGGGAGAAATTGACCAAAACAAAGGGGTTACCGGGCCCATGCAAGTACAAAATCCAGCGGGGAAGTCAAATTTTAAAGCTCCAAAATGATCTTCTTTGACTCCAGGTCTCAAATCCAGGTCGTGCTGATGGAAGAGGTGGGTTTCCATGGTCTTGGGCAGCTCCGTTCTTGTGGCTTTGCAGGGTACAGCCTCCCTTTCAGCTGCTTTCACAGGCTGGCCTTGAGTGTCTGTGGCTTTTCCAGTCAAACAGTGCAAGCTGCTAGTGGATCTACCATTTGGGGGTCTGGAGGACTGCGACCTTCTTCTCAGCTCCACTAGGCAGTGCCCCAGTAGAGACTCTGTGTGGGGACTCAAACCTAAATTTCCCTTCTCCACTGCCCTAGCAGAGGTTCTGCATGAGACCCTGCCCCTGCAGCAAACTTCTGCCTGGGCATCCAGACGTTTCCATATATCTTCTGAAATCTAGGAAAAAGTTCCCAAACCCCAATTCTTGACTTCTGTACACTCACAGGCTCAACACCATGTGGAAGCTGCCAAGGTTTGGAGCTTGCACCCTCTGAAGCTACAGTCTGAGCTATACATTGGCCTTTTCCAGCCACAGCCGGAGCAGCTTGGATGTGGGGCACCAAGTCTCTAGGCTACACGTAGCATGGGAACCCTGGGCCCACCCATGAAACCGTTTACTCCTAGGCCTCCGGGCCTGTGATGGGAGCTGTGAAGCCCTCTGACATGCCCTGGAGACATTTTCCCCATTGTCTTGGGGATTAACATTTGGCCCCTCATTTCTTATGCAAATTTCTGCAGCTGGCTTGAATTTCTTCTCAGAAAATGAGTTTTTCTTTTCTATTACATTGTCAGGCTGCAAATTTTCCAAACTTATATGCTCTGTTTCTCTTTTAAAACTGAATGCTTTTAACAGCACCCAAGTCATCTCTTGAATGCCTTGCTTCTTAAAAATTTCTTCTACCAGGTATACTAAATCATCTCTGTCAAGTTCAAAGTTCCACAAATCTCTAGGGCAGGGACAAAATGCTGCCAAACTCTGCTAAAACATGCGAAGAGTCACCTATGCTCCATTTCCCAACAAGTTCCTCATCTCCATCTGAGACCACCTCAGCCTGGACCTTATTGTCCATATCTCCTTAGACTTTTGTCAAAGCCATTCAACAAGTCTCTGGGAAATTCCAAACTTTCCCCCATTTTCCTGTGTTCGTCTGAGCCCTCCAAACTGTTCCAACCTCTGCTGGTTACCCAGTTCCAAAGTTACTTCCACATTTTTAGGTATCTTTTCAGCAATATTCCACTCCTGGTACCAATTTACTATATTAGTCTGTTTTCACACTACTAATAAAAACATATCTGAGACCAGGCAGTTTACAAAAGAAAGAGGTTTAATTGGACTTAACAGTTCCACATGGCTGGGGAAGCCTCACAATCATGGCAGAAAGTAAGAAGGAGCAAGTCCCATCTTACATAGATGGCAGCAGGCAAGGAGAGAAAGAGACGCAAAAGTGGAAACCCCGATAAAACCATCAGATCTCATGAGACTTATTCACTACCAAGAAAACAGTATGGGAGAAACTGCTCCCATGACTCAGATTATCTCCCACTGGGTCCCTCCCACAACATGTGGGAATTATGGAAGTACAATTCAAGATGAGATTTGGGTGGGGACACAGCCAAACCATATCATCATCATTATTTCTTTTTTTTTTCTGTACAATCTAATGGGAGCTTCAGACAAGAATTATCATTTAATTAGTTGGGTTTTTGTCTACATTATTCTTGCTTCTCCATTCACATTTGGTTAAATGCATTTATCATTAGTGCATCTCCTTTTCCTCTTTCTCTTTATTCTTTTTCTCCTATATCTCCTCCTCTTTCTTCTTCTTCTTCTACTTCTTACTCTTCATAAGTAAGATACTGCCAAGTATTTCCATGAATTATCTTTTATACCCTTTATCACAGCTCTATTACAGAAGTACTATCCTATTATAGAGATGAAAAAATGGAAGCTCTAGAAAGCCAAGACACTTTCTGAAGATCAAAAGCTAGAAGTGGTTAAAACAGGTCAACTTTTTGCCAGCCCCTAAATTCCTGTTCTATTCTATTCATTCACTCATTCATCATTTTAATTATTCTTTCATTTAGCAAATACACATTTAATACCTAATTATCTTTCAAGTACTATACTGGGTGCTTAGTTAGATATAAGAAATAAGATGTAATATCTATGCTCAGAGAGGTTTGTATGGGGCGTATGTGGTGTTTGTGTGTTTGCTGTGGGATGCCAAATGAGCAAATAATTCCACTATTGTATTTCGAATGTGATTGATATAGTAGAGATAGTTACAAACTGTCACTTAAGTACTAACGAAGAGTCACTCTGGAGAACCAAATAAGGATTCATAAGGATCTGTATTTTGAAGGATAAATTTACATTCACAAATGGAAAAGACAGGAAGAACTTTCAAAGTTATGGAAGATTATCTTTTCTTTTAGGAATAAAAAGAAGTTCAGGTTAGCAGGAACACAGGGAAATCATGGAATTACATGGAAATGATTGTAGAAGGTGTTAGAGATAGGACGTGAAAGACAGCATTCAGTTCAGGAAACAATAGAGAGTTAAAGGGGAGGTTTAAGGTCTCCTGAGTTTTTTTTTAAAGAAAGATGTGAATGACATATTTTATAATAGCAACTGTATTTATTCATACATTTAGCCAACAACTATTTATGATGCATTTATTGTTGGCAGACATTTTGGAAAACAATAGATGAGCAGATTATAAACAGAAATCAGATATTCAGGAAATTCACTCTTGTGGGAAAAATAATACATACTAAAAAGTCTAGAAAATGACATTGTAAGATGATCTGATCTAAATTTTATGAACATGCTGCGGAGACAGGGGACAATGGAAGATATGTATGACAATGAAGAGGAAGAGAAAAGAGCGAGCCACCAAGATACTACCTTCCATCCCATTAAAAATTACTTTCCTCTAAGAACAAAACTAAACATAAAATTAGTGATTAGGAAAGAAATGTTTGTATCTCAGTGAAGAAGAATCACACTTAGAAAAGGTTTATCCAGACTCTGATGGTAAATATGACCTATATTCTTTATGCTGTAATGACTTGAGGTTCCTGGATGGAATTGACCCAATGAAACTTTCCCTTGAGACAATCAAAGTCTCTTTTAAAAAGACTAGCAAAGATTTATGTCATACATTTCCAGTCCACAGACAATACTCAGAGGCCAATAGGGATCCCATAAATGACGAAGAGAAAGATAAGATGTTGTTAGCCTGAGCTGAGCCTTCTGCTCATGATTGGTGTGCTTCATTTGCAAAAGCCTCATAAATGTGGTCCTGCTGGTGCAGTCTTTAAACATAAATATCACAAAGTCTCTTGCTGGGTTTTTGGTGGGGAGCCGGGGTGTCTATTGTAATATTCTTAGTCTCTGGGTCCAGTCCTTGACATCAGCTTCCTTAAAAATAACTCAGTTTTACCGCTTAACTAAAGGTTCTTTATATAGCCTCAAAATACACTGATGCTGCACTCATTT